TTTTTTTTTTTTTTTTTTTGTTTCTTTGTTTTCCAGTTCGTGTTCTTTCCTTTTTTAATGTTTTGCAATTTTATATGTTTTTGTTTTAACTTTCTTTCTTCTTCTTCAGTGAAATCGATCTGCTTTAGTTCATCCAAATAATGCCTCGCAGAAGATCAAACTTAGGTCGTCGTACTCGCGGAGAGGAAGCAATTCACTCGATCTGCCACAGCAACGCTTGGCCGGGTACAGCTAGTAAATTATAAATTCACAATTTTAATATATACTCCGTGAGAGTCCCTTCCAAAAGTCAGGAATCATAAAATCAATGTGTACATACCTTCTTGCTTGTAATCCACGTGGGCATGGCGTCTGACTATGTCTAGCACCTCATACAGCAGGCGGTCCATAATTATTAGTGTCGTAGGTGCTATCATGTGCAGAAGCAACTTCGCTGTTTGGTAACCCTGATAGAGATTCAAACATAAGTTCACTGCGTGCCCCAGTAATATAAGCAGCTTATTCAAATTTTGCATGGGAGGACTCAGCTGTTCTGAGACTGTCAGAGTTCCTCAGTGTCTTCAAGAAGGGGGAAAGATCTCAAGACAGCCGGTTCACTTGGCCGTGACTGGGATTATGGTCTGCTTGAATACGAGTGACACGTCATAGGTAGACTACTAATGTACATGGTCGCGCACAGCGTAGAGAAATTAGCGTAACAAGGGCGAAGTATGAATTATTATAAAATTACTTAATGAGAAGCTTCATTATTTGTATTGTTCGCTAAATAATATTGGGGCGATGTGGTCAGGAGCCAAGACTGGTAGAATCCTAAGTCCCGCCCCGGGCGGCTGCAGGGTGGTGAAAAACAGGAATTTGTGCCTCATACCTGGATTTTAGGAGAAATCAGGATTAAAGGAAAGGTGAAATTATCAGATATTCCCAAAAAAATTGAAAGTATTTTCAAAAGAATTTACCCAACTATCTTGAATATTTGGGGGCGACATGAACGTAAGTTTGTAAAAAATTGATTTGGTTGACCACTCTTTTCCTTGTTGAAAGAAAAATCTGGCTACGTCCAAGGACCTAGGCGAGGAAAAATTCTGCTACCTCCTTCATTGGCATCAACTTTGTGAGAACTTCGTCAAAATTAATAACACGAAATTGATAGACCCTGTGCGCAAACTCATATCATGTGTGTCGAAATTCCTAAACCGGTTTATTTGCATTGCTACATAACAGGTTTAGATTACTAGCAATTAATGGTTATCATCCGAAAGAAAGATTGGTATAAATTAAATTAAATTTAACATAAAGTGGAGAAGAAAAGGACTTGAGGTTCTCACAGCTGTGATTGTGAAGCGTTACGTGTTAGCTCAAACAAAGGATCGTTGCCGAAGAAAATGCCACTCCATATTCATGGTCGAACAGTAAGCCAATCAAAATGAATCAGCAGAAGGAGGTGATAATCTGCGAGCTACATGAAGTTACAACCCAAAAGAATGTACTCAAAACCTAAATAAAGTAAAACATTAAATTTGTCCCTGTTCTTAACTCGCACCATGAATACGTATGGGGAAGCGGAAGTATAGCTCCACGTATTGATCTCGGCACTAGATGGAGGTGAGTAGTCAGTTTCATGCCCCTGCTGCTTTAACCTTGGGGGAAATAGCTCCCGATACCCATTCTATAGGAGGACGAGTGGTCCCCATAACCAATCCGGAAGTTGAGAAGAGCAAAATTTTGTCCCTGACGGGAATCGAACCCCGGGCTCCAGCTCGTAGCTCGTCTTTGGTATCGACTGGGCTGTCCCGGTCTTTCCTCATAAAGTGAACTGTTTTTAAAATGTTGCATCCCTAAAATAATGCCACACCAGGAGGCCGTTTGGCTCGCTGTGCTAGGGTCAGCGTTGTCAGGAAGGTGGGATCAGCGGGAAAAGTAGTACACGTAGTAAAGAGGGGACATGTTTGTTTTTAAACGCATGCAAACAAATTTCACACAAAATTTCGAGGCATGTTCAAGATCATAGAGCATTCGAAGAACACAGATAAAATGAAAATTGTCAAAAAGCTCCAGAATCAGTACCGGAATTACAGTTTGGGCGGACCGGGGGGGCACTCAAAATGCGGAGGCCCCCACCAGTAACGAATTTAGGTTATGGATTTTTTTGTTCTCATTTCTTATAATAACCAAAAACAGAAACTCTTCGTAATTTTTGAGAAGTAAAATGTCTGAATAGAATCCGCAGATTCTATTCTATTTTTGTGGTGGGGGGGTACCCGGGGCGTTTCCCACCTAAATCCTGCCCTGCCCAAAAACTGATACTGTTATGTATGGTTCAGAAGCTGCAAGAAAAATTAGTCACCAGTTTCTTGCGTTCCTGGCGCCCAGGCAAGGCAGCACGAGGGTCCATTAGAGCTACTCGTTCCACCTTCTTGAGCGGCATGAGTGTGTGTTTTTGAGACTTGCGGCGCCGGGCATCAATCCGCCGGAAGTACTGTGTGACGTATGTGTTGTCGAACTTGATATCCGAGAGATACTTGTCGTGATACTTCTGTGCCCTGTGGCATTACGGAGAAACAAATATTAAGCACTCAAGTCAGTTGTAATTATTATCAGTTGATTATTAAACGACGCTGTCAGTATCGAATATATATATATAGCGTCAGATTATATGATATTAATAAGAGACTCAAACTCGGCGGTGGTCAAGCTTACGACCGTTCAAGTGACTAAGCTGCAGTTGTAGCATAAGATACGTAAGATAGGCGTGATCTGCTCTATAACGTCTGTACTGAAAGAGGACTTGTGTGTAGTGCAAAATGAGAAATTTCAATAACATGCTATAAGGCCAAGCATTTTCATAACGAAAAAACCCATCATCTTGTCAGATAGGATGTTACGTAAGGACAATTTCCATAAGTGTTCAGTTGAAAAAGAATGCCCTGGCCTTGACGCAAAGACGAATTGTTTAGCGGTAAACCGCCAGCCGTAAAATAACTTTGAATTTGACTTTGACTTTGATTATTAACGAACGTGGAGCAGTTGGGGGGGATGATAACTGGTGGGGTCAAACCAAAATGCTAGCAGAGAACATAGTTTAGTATAATTTTGTTCACCACAAATTCCACATGACTTGACCTGGATTCGAAAGCGGACCTGCAGACCTTCTGCTTGCCACGTATTTTCACGCTGGTTTCTTGCTCGGTGCATTCGTCTATCCTGAAGATGTAGGCGATATTTGCCTCCGAAATGTCCGTTGACTTTCACCGGACTACACCGCGTTATATAGATTAATCATTCTGTTAATCGATGCTATATAGTCTGAACTACTAACAGCACCTTCATTCAGAGGATAAACGAATAATGACGGGCCAAGTTGCTTACCCGATTATTATGCCGACGAAGGTGAACGCGAGTAACCGTTTTATATAAAAGATGATCGTCACCAGTAACTGCTTCTTCCTCTCGAACTCTGTAAGCACGTCTTGGGCTGAATCTGTTACCTGTTTCACGTACAACTGTAACACGAAATTAATGTTATGTCAAGACAAAATCACCCTTCTTGAGAAGTACTCTTTGTCTAAAACACATCTCCGGAGGGCACGTCATACCTTGAATAGACCATCTCCAGTATATGAACTTGGTTCCCACCTGTGTTCAAAAATATAATCTAGTAACTTGCTAATTGTGACGCACCGATTTACGTCATTGTCTGCGATTGCACATTTTCAGAGATGTGTATGTATAAGGGCAGTAAAATGAAAACGGGTCACCACGCATAACTCACATGGCGAGCAAGTTGGTAACACGGGAATTTCCTTACGGTACGAACATATGGTGGGGACTCGGGGGAGCACAGTGACAGCATGCCCTTGCACACTAGTCGTTTGTTAATTTTGCTGGAAGTAAGGTTAGCGCTACATGTTGTCGCCGAACATCCGTAATGGAGGTCGGTAAAGAAGAACAGAGAAGTGTAGTGCGCTTTTGACTGCTGAAGGAGTAGGAGGACGAGAAATTTATCGTCGCATGTCTGTTGTTTACGGCGAACACAGCATGTCCCGTTCGCGTATGCTGGCATGGCATTAGAGATTCCGAGAGGGACGTGTGTCACTACAAGATGATGCTTGCCCTGGACAGGCTCATCGTGTCATCACTCCTGATGTTATTGCTGCGTTGGATGGTCATATCCAGGCAAACCGACAGATCACTGTGGAAGGAATTAGTCTTTTGGTGGGAATAAGTCGCGCTTCCGTACACGGCCACTGTGACAAAACACCAGCTGTACCGCAAAATTTGCGCGCAGTGGGTTCCACGTCAACTCAAGGTAGAACAGAAGACTCAGAGAATGGCTGCATCACTGGATCACTTGCAACGATACCATGATGAAGAGTATGCTTTTCTGTCCCGTATTGCCACTGGGACGAAACTTGGTGCCACCATTTTGGACCCGAGAGCGAATGGCATAGCCGACAGTGGAAACATGTGAATTCTCCTCCACCTAAGAAATCGAAAGCCGTACACACAAGTTCCGGTAAAGTGATGATGATGATCTTCTTCTACTGCAAGGGCCCTCTGCTTTCGAATTTCTCGAACATGGGGTCACAATCAGTGCACAGCGGTATGAAGACACTTTGCAGAAACTGAGACGTGCCATAAAGTGAAAACGCCCTGGAATGCTATCGAACGGCATTGTCCTTCTTCATGATAATGCGTGCCCCCACACTGCCAAATCTGTGAGGAATATGCTACAGAGATTTGATTGGGAAGTGTTTCAACATTCCCCCTACAGCCCAGATCTCTCTCCATGTGTTTTTCACATTTTTTGAGACCTAAAGAGAGACATTCATGGACATCGGTTTGCATCGGATGAAGACGTGTGCGGCTGTGTAAAGATGTGGTTCCGTAGACAGCCCACAAGCATTTTCAAGGATGGGATTGACCGTTTTATTTCCCAGTTGGATAAATGTTTTAAGAGTTTTGGAGATTACTTTTGAGGTAAGAAATGTCATTTAATGTGTTTTGGCTTCTGACACGCTTTAATTTGACTGCAACTCATATATACGTAAATTTATTCCTGTAACAGGTCGTTGACGACAGTAGGGTTGTGAGACGTCGAGGCTCCAATATTTTCTAGACAATCGGCTCACATATGGCGGTGAAGTCAGCCTTACGCGCCGACCGTCCTTTATCCCCGGGAAGATTCCTGGTACTTATTTCTGTTAGAGGCTGAGTCGAACCCAGGGCCATAGTCCGGCTGGAAGGTTTCGGTCAATTGAAAAAAATCCAATTACCTCATCGGGAATCGAACCCGCTACCTTCGTGCTTGTAGCACAACCAATTATGCTACTGCGTGACCTCCATGTGTATATAGGCAGGTAGACTATTGTAATTGTAAGGTATCAAGGATAGAGCAGAATGAATGCAATATTTGTTTAACGTCTGAAAAAAATAGTTACGATAACCCAGATGGAAGGATATTACGGAATGTGTCTTTAAAATTTAATGGGCACTACATGTGCCACATGCTTTAATATACGAGAAATCTGCAGTTTTCCCTACAGGGTGTAAGCCTCTTTATTTGTTTCTTCTGGTTCTCACAATAAACAACAATTCTTTCGTTAAACAGCATTAACCGGTTGAGCTTTTGAGCGGAGATGTAATGTGTTTCCTGTGAGGTACCTGTGGATATTTATATGCGTTGTTTAGAAGAAACTTAGTCTGCGTAAATTTTATATACCACTGTCTGGTGCTCATTCAAAGACTGCTAATGAACAAGAAAGATCTGTAAAAACAAATATTTTTTCCACATATTTGTTATACATAATATGCAGGCTGCAATAAATGTGTATGTTCAGTAAGAACTGGCTCGTGAATGAGTTATGCCCAGTGGCGTAACTCGTATACTATTTTTGTTCACTTAGGTATCACTTTAATTCTTGTACTGGGGTTTTACTCAGGTCTTTCTGGTACAGTTAGAACGGTGTATCTTTTCAGTCTATGCGTAGTTTCGCTATTGTCTTAGTAGGTTCATTGCTAGTGCATTAATGCGGTTTTCTAATTTTCTTATGTATTTGGTGTTTTCTTTTTTTCGCTGAGCCGCGTTCATTTATAAATCTTCATGGATCCTGTGGTTGTTTATGTACCAAGGAAAAACAAATATGTAAAATTCTTTTTCGAATAAAGCAGCAGCCAGCTGGGGACTAATATTATGGTTCCCGTATTTAATTTATTTATTGAGCAGACGAGCGACTTTCAGGGTCTTGAGCAGAGCTCCGCTCCTCGTTAGTAGATCGTGACCGTACGGCAATGCCTAAAGCAGCTTACCAGTTTTGGTGCTTGTGGAATGTGGTACTGTATTGTGACATCTTTGAAAGCGTCCTTCAGTGAACCATTTGATCTCTTGAGCGCCTCGTACCCTGCTCCGAACATGGGATCCAACACTTGGCTCGCGTCGCACGTCTTGCTTCCGCCTATGGCTGTCGCCGAAACAGAAAGCAGATAACTCTTTCAACAACCAGCAACAATTTCTATGTAAATTGTCAGAGTCAGAGTTACTCTACGACTGGCGGTTTACCGCCAATCAGTTCGTCTTGGCGATAAGCCCCTTGAGACTCACAACCAGTAATATTATTTTCCAAGTGAACGCTTGCGGTTATAGTCCTTATGTAACATCCACTCTGACGAGAAGATGGGTTTGTCGTTTATAATTGCTGCTGGTCCTCGCCAACGCAGTCATTCTAGGGTCCGAGTCCCGCGGGACTTATGACCATATTTTACTGCTTCAGATTCGTGACTCCCCCAACCTAAAAGGCCAGGTCCCCGTATTTATATCCCCAGGAACGTGGTGGCCCAGTTATACCGCCAGGCACTGGGTTCCCTTTCCGCCGCCCCCTACTACTCACAGGGCTACGGTGGTGGTATTCGAACCCGCCTGCACACGGGATCTGAACCCCGTCTGATTTGTTTGAAATATTTATAACAGCAGCTGCATGTTCGTTCCGTTACTGAGAAAACTTCAATCGGTTTAGCGACGGCCTATGGACTGGACTGCCGGGGTTCGATTCCCAGCAAGGGGGACAATTTTTGTTGACTCCACAGCGTTCAGACGGTATCTGGAGGTTACTTCAACCCCACGAAGTCATGATCCGGTACTGGTATGGTGAGTTCGGTTTGCTCGAGTTATATTTCAGTCCGTATGGTTGATAGAACGAGGTGCCGTAACAAAATTATGATTCACTCGGAGCCGGCCTCAGATTAACAATTACAAATTACAGTGCAATTTACTGATGACACAGCTAATTTGACAGGACCGTGTATTATACAACCACGACACAGCGTCTGCCTACCCGGTTCGTGTCATTTCCTTCGATCTGTGACTTCACTTATTACGTTGAGGAATAACATATAGGAACACGGCGGATGCGCAGTGAAACCGATTTTCGTTATGTTCTATGACAAAATTGTCTTCACATCTACAAGCGTTCTGATTTCAGTGGTAAATTATTGCGTGGTTTAACTAAGTAACTAATATTTTGTTATTCTTAGTAGGGTGAGACTGAGTCCATTTGGTACTGGGGCCACTTCTGGCCTATTGTACCGTCCACAGATGATAGATGCAGGTGGCTGTGGAGCAGTTGGTGGAATGAAGATTGGCAGGAGTAACCGAAGTACTCGGAGAAAACCTAACGGCAATATGTCCACCACACATCCCACATGACCATACCCGGACTCGACCTGGGCCGCCAAGACGGGAAGCCAACGACTAACCGCCTGAGCTATGGCGCGGCCCTACTAACTAACTACTCGTACATGGAGCTGAGCCCTTCTTGAGAAGCCGTCAGTTGTACAGCTACTCAAGAATTTCTCAAAATTTTATGGAACCCGAAGATTCATTACCTTGTTCACAAGAGCCTCTCAATCCAGTCCATAGCACCCCATCCTATCTAGGATCCATTTTAATAATATCCACCACCTATGTCTTGGTTTTCCTAGTTGTCTCTTTCCTTCTGGCTCTCCCACAAATATCACATATGCAATCTTCTTCTCCCAATTCTTGCTACATGCCCTGCCCAACTCATCCTCCTTGACTTGATTATTCTAATTGTACTTGGCGAAGAATACAAGTTCTGAAGCTTTTCATAATTGCGTGGTTTATAATTATGAATTTGGAGCCTCCTCCGAGTGAGGACTAACTGCTTACCTTCCACAACGTTGCAGATGAACGTGAGCTTCATGGGCCAGCACAGGAGCCACGCAGCCAAGAAGGACACTTTGCTATAACACTTGTCATAAGCTTCGGAAAACACCCGTCGACAGTTCGATCCGGCGCGGCTGAGGATATCTGCACAGAGTTAGCAGTGCGAATTTGGTGAGCAACATGTCTACATAGTTAAACAGCAGTTCGTTTGTTAAACTCTTGTAAATGTAACAAACAGGAATAAGGAGATAATAACGCAGTGTAGTCTGTTGAAGATCAACCGAAATTTCGGAGGAACATGTCGCCTCCATCTTCAGGGTCGAGGAAAAACAAAGCAACAGACCAGAATGAAGCAGGTAGCAAGCAGATACAGACCATCTGTTTGCAACTTGTTTTATGTTTGTTTCTTATGTTATTCTTTGACCTTGAAGATGGAGGCTACATGGTCTCCGAAAATTCACTTGGCTATCAACGAACTGCAAGAGATTGTATACCAGAAGATAGGGCTCGTCATAACTACCGCTTTGAGAACCTCAAATCTTACAGCAATTGGAACATTTAAATTCCTCGTGCAAAATTGATATGTAGAATATAGTGGTTTGACAGTATGCCACGGAAAGAGCTGTCTTTTGAGCTTTTCTTCTAAGCTCTCGGGAACATCTCAGCAATTCCCTTTCAAAGCTCAAGTCTTAATTACGTCTCTGTAAAATTTCCACAGGTGCAAGACACGTATGTCATAGACGTGAGAGCAAGTGAACTGGGGGCTGAAACATGGCTTCAGTATTTTGAGATGTCTGAGGGGGTTAGGCAAAAGTAGTAGGCCACTTTCTTTCAAGTATCAACAATTACTTCGAAACTTAATGTCAGTATATAAGCCTATATAGCGGTATATATAGGCTATATACACTAGTATATAGCCTATGTAGCGGTTGAAGAACGGACAACGGGAAGAAAGGAAACACCGAGCCAGAAAAAAAAACAGTCAGTCGCAGTCTAGCATTCGCCGGAGTGAATGGAAGCAGGAGAAGTAAGTGAGATACTGCAGAGGGCTGTAATTGTGAAATTGTAAATTGTGTAAATGTATGAGCGAGTGGGCAGGTCACGGTAGCCGAGTGGTCTAAGGCGTGCACTGTCTTCGCTCGCTCGAAAGCCGGGATCGTGGGTTCGAATCCCACTCAGGGCATGGATGTTTAGTTTGTGTGTACCTTTTTCTGTGTTTGTATACAGATAGAGGCCTTTCGACGAGCTGATCACCCACCCAAGGAGTCCTACCGAATGTCTAAGATCTAGAAAAAAACCGAAGTGAACGGAGAAGTTCATGGAGGTAGGCCTAGGCCCACTGGGGCTGTAGTGCCAAGGGGGAAAAAAAAGAGCAAGTGGAATTAAATCGCTATATCCAAGATGGCTTGAAGTTATTTGTCGCGTGACATGCACAAAACACGTGACAATATATAGGCCTACTAGAAGCCGGGATTGCTCAGCCGGTATAGCAGCTGGCTACGGGTTGGACGGCCGAGGTTCATATCTTCATGGCATGGTGCTTAATTGATTAGCATAGGAATTAACTCGCTTTATGCATATAGGCTTACAAGATCAACATGCACTTAAAATCCAGATATATACAACATTAGAACACTAGGAAAATGTGAGTGTAATGGAACTTGTATTACAGTCCCAGGCCAGAGATGACATTCACATGTAAGAATTTATTATTTGACTTTCACATCACGTATTTCAACAACATATTTTGTATGTAAACAAATTTTGGGGAAAATCTTGAGCTTCAAATTGCTGATGGGAGAAAAAGGAATGAAAACACGAGATATCCTCCCCTTAAACAAGAGTGAAGCATGTTAATACAGCGTATTTTTCTGTCGTATCGTTCGAAGACTAGCTTCTTAAGCGAAATTTTTACACAGTATTTACTTTTCCAAACATTATGTGCCCAGAAATCGTAAACTGAGGAAATGAAACAATTTTTCTGCTCGTTCGACCTACTCATATATATATACAAAGTGTTTCACGACTTTAGGGCATAACTGCAGGAGGTGATTTCCTAGGTCTTTGTGATCAAAAAAGTTCATATAAACATGTGTCCGATTTTGGACGGTTACGGAGTTATGACCGTTTTTTCATTCCCGTACACGCCCTCGTGTGAACCGCGTCTGTCATCTGGCGGGTCGCTATTTTTAGCCAGCTACAGGCAGAGCCTTCTCGTTATCTCGACACTTGAGAGGTACCTAAGGCGGGGTGGGTTGGTATGTCCGGCCACGGCTAGTGTGGCGGCTACTGTTGTTCAGAACAGTTCTCATCTCGGTGCGTCTGTTACGTTCACGATGCCATTTACATTTTCATTTGAGGAGTATGCAGATATGATTTATGTGTACGGGTTTTGTGACGGTAACTCAGTTCTTGCCGTGGCTGAATATCAGCAACGGTTTCCGAATCGTAGAATACCGAACCGGAGAGTGTTTACTGGAGTTTACCAGGCATTGCGAGATACCGGTAGACTTACCGGCGTTCGTATTGCAGCCGAGCGTGGTGTTAATGAAGGCGTCAATGAAGAAGGCATTGTTCGTATGGTACACCGCAGTCCATGTACGAGTACGCGAAGAATTCCCATCCAGGTCTCCAGGCTTAAGCCCACTGGATTACTGTGTGTGTGGGGATGGAAGAAAGAACTGGTTTACGATGTGAAGGTGGCAACGCGAGATGCTTTGCTCGGTCGCATTCTGCACGCCGCTGACCACATTACGAAACAGCCAGCTAAAGCTACTACGTGCTACCCGCGCGGTTCACCACCGAGCGGCAGCCTGGGTTGCGGCCGGCGATGGCATTTTCGAAAATCAGCTTTAAGCACCAATCAGTTCAAATTAAAGGTAATTTCACGAAGTTAACTTTACATTCATACTATAAATGTATCATGTATTATGCTGGTTTATTATTTTGTTCCGTTTATTCTCAGTAATTGTTACCTTCTATTCTGCGTTTAAAACGGTCATAACTCCGCAACCGTCCAAAATCGGACACATGTTTATATGAAATTTTTTGATCACAAAGACCTCTGAAATCACCTCCTGCAGTTATGCCTTAAAGTCGTGAAACACCCAGTATATAGGATGTCCCAGGAGGAAAAGTTCAATATTGTGGAAGGTCATAGTATCGGTCATTCTAAACAGAAAAGTGTAAAGTACACGTGTCCTATTCAGTATATTTTCCGAGATATTTCACTATACAGTTCCAAGATTGTTGATAAAGAAATATTACGTTCTGTTGATAATACCGGTATTTATTGTTCAAGTGATAAAGCTGGTACAGTTTACTTGGTNTGTGATAATTAATCGTAGCCGTTATTTGTAGATTGTTAAATAAACCAATTAACCATCTCTACGGCGTCTTTCGGTAGCGTAAACACGTTACAATATTTTCCGAGATATTTCACTGTACAGTTCCAAGATTGTTGATAAAGAAATATTACGTTCTGTTGATAATATTGGTATTTATTGTTCAAGTGATAAAGCTGGTACAGTTTACTTGGTATAATACACTTTCGCAAATTCCACCGTCAACATCAAAGCCCTTCGCAGCTCGTGTAAGGACTTGGCGTGTTGCTCGTCTGTACAGTGTATAGTGTACTGTACAGTGAAATAGCTCTATCTCGGTGCAACTCGTGTGAGGACATGGCGTGTTGCTCGTCTGTACAGTGTACAGTGTACTGTACAGTGAAACAGCTCTATCTCGGAAGCCGTTCGGAATAGAGCACATGTACACACATACTTTTTTTGCGTCTAATGACCCACAATATTGACCTTTCCTCCTGGAACCTTTTATATAATCTAGATACTGACAGCGTTGCAAAAGAAGCAGCAAAGAATCTGAATGCTAATTTTTAACGGCTCGCCCTAAAACAAATGGTCTACATGTAAGCGAGCACCTAGGTGCATGAGGATTGGGAGAGATTGTTAATCAATAAACACAGAGTTTAGGACCCTGTCCCAAAAATTTACATTTCTTCATACTCATACGATATACACTTAAAAGTTGGCAACGCCGCCATGTTTACCATTGTACAATTTGAGGTTCTTAGGTATTTATGAGGAATACTATATCCTGGGATATAACGCCGTCTATTCCATTTTAAGTAAACGGACGTTTCGGGGGAACATATCGCCTACATCCTCAGGGTTTAAGAATAAGCCGAGCAAGATACCAGAGTGAAAGCAGGTAGCAAGCAGAGTTCTGTATGTGGCAAAATTGTCCAAGCTTCACACCACAGAAAACATACAAGCGTTATACGTAGTTTTGCGCGCTGTAATTTTCGGAGTTCTAGACACGAGGAAGCAGGGATATTCTTGCTTTCTTCAACAAACATAAACTTGTAATGTCCAGGATCACATAGCTAAATTTTCTATAACGATTAATGCAGGAAACTGAACTACTTACCTTCACATTTCGACGATATCTTTCTCTTGTATCTCTTCTCATAACGAGTAACTTCAGTTTCATTTTTCTGCTGTTTGTACTTTTCCTTTATCTCTTCCTCGCGTTTGGAATCCCCCTGCGAAACATAAACCGACTAGTTCGTGAAATTTGTTGCATTTGAGGTTATGACGGCGTTGAGAGTTTATGATTAGGTTTTTTAGGGTTGTAATGTCATGTGGGTTAGAAATAGACCAACGTTTCGGAGGAAAATATCGCCTCCATATTCAGGGTCGAAGAGTAAATCAACCAAGAATCCGACAGAAGCAGGCGGTAATCTCAACTACTTTCTTGCGTGTTTTAATCTTCGAACCTGAAGACGACGAATAGTTTTTCGACACTTCGAGCTCTCTCCGAACTACACGAAGTTACAAGCCAGAAGACAGAGCGCAGTAATGAGTCTCGAATTGGACGGAATAGTGAAGTCGATCACAGTGGCTGCGCGGTCTAAGGCATGAAATCTCTTCGCTCGCTCGAATACTCGGATCGTGGGTTCGAATCCAACTCAAGGATTCTATGTTTGTGCTGTCCTGTGTATCGGTAGCGGCCTTGCGATGAGCTGATCCCCCGTTCAAGGAGTCTTACCGACTGTGTATAGGATTAAAAAATGGATGAAGCGGCTTAGGTCCAACAAATGGCTGTGGAGCTATAGATAGATAGATATGTAGACCAATGGAATTGTCTACTTATTACGGTAGTTCTTTTGTGATTTTTTCTATTTGTTAAAAGTTCTGTTATTTGCAGCCAGGGTGCGGCATGGTGAACTTTTTCATGGGTTAAATGATGATGAACCAGCAACGCGCCTACTATCTAGTTTAATTGTCTTGGCTCACCCGTTAGTTTACGGGAGATGGGTTATAGTGAGGGATGTGCTCCAGTAAGCTTATTATAAAGGCTTCTGTTCGGGAAGAAAGGGGGATGAACCGGAAACTACAGGCGATATGAACTAGTTTAGCATTAGCTCAATGAGATTAAGTCTCAGGTGCATCCAGGCCTCGCATTAGCGCGGAGACAAGAGTGATTAATTCTAGGCACTATGCAACACTGTTTAATGAGCACTTTTAATATATACGAATTAATATATACGTATTTCCGTCAGTAACATTGGTTCTAATTGCTAGTTAGATGCTGACCTGAGAAATCTACTTAATATGATTGGCGATTGTTCTGGTAACATTTCAAAATAATTTTTCTTTCACTTAAACCCTTAAACTAAACTTGGATTACACTGATTTTGCGGCCGGATCCTTGGCGAGTTATTCGCCGACTGTTTCATTACCACACTTCGAAATAATTTTACTTTCAACTAACGCTTTTGAACCAAACTTGAAATTACACTAATTTTACGGCTGTATCCTTGAAGAGTTATTCAGCGACTACGTTAGGAGACTGACTCTGTTTTGGGGCAAGAAGTCTTCACAGCTTCAGCTCCGCCTCCAAGTTACTACACTAATTTTTGCTGATTGGAGCAATTTGAATGTTCGGAGTATACTCTAATGCTCACTGCTCCAGTCTTCTTGTTTCAAGGGACTCTCACCCTTGAGGACCTAACGCACTTTTTGACAGTTGCTTGAAAAATTATACCAGTAGCGTGGGTTGTGAGCCTTCCCACTTATGAATTACGGGGTTCAAAACCTGTCAAATGTACTTTACCAAAGGATCCCGCCGGTCAATTTTCGAACTGAATTTCCTGGAAAACGCTGCCGGTGCTTCCTGCCTTGTCTTTGTAGAAGTGAAGCAGGACCTATTCTTGAAACGAAGAATCGGGCTAAGTCTCCCTTGAATATTCCTTACTACGTACATCGTAAGCGTAATTACTATCATAAGAAACTTAATTACAAATAAAGCTGGTGGTGTCAGTGGCACGGCTACGCTAGACCACAGACTAAGAAAGGCTCACACTGGATGAATATTCGTCCAGAAGGTAAAGACCGTTTGGTGATTAAACAAAATAGATGAATAAAATAAAAAGAAATATTTTGCATCATTAAATCAGACCTCAAATCATTTTTCTCCATAATCCCCATGAAGATTCAGGCACTTTTAGTCTCGTGTGACAAGTTTCTATATGCCTATATCATAGAAATCTGCCTGCAGTCCATTGAAGTAGTCTTTAACGGTCTTTTTCACATCTTCATCGCTACGCATGCGCGTGCCGCCAAAAAACTGCTATAAGTATGTGAACAAGTGAAGATCACTTGCAGCCAGGTCCAGAATGTAGGAAGGAAGGGGGTAAAGATGTTCCAGGCATTTTATACATTCAAAAACCAAATTACAGTTAGCATTTCACAATCGGCGGGATTCCTGATTTTCTTACTAGCGTTAAATTCAATAAAAAATAAAAAAAAAAATAGAATCAGCGCCTTATTCACTTGGCTTGTTACTAAAAGACAACTGAGACCCGTTAACTTAGAAACGGTGCAATTATAACTTGTGCAAGTGCGGTCTTTGTTTTCTGGAGGACCCACGTATACGGAGGAGGGTCAGTAAATAGGTCACAAATGGATAGTAAACATAAAACGTGTGATATTCGAACCTGAGAAAACATTTACTTCTCGACAAATCATCAACCAATACTGATACATTTGTCCTATCGCTTTAGCAGTGCGTCGAAGCCCGCAGCATAGGAGCCTTTTGACTGAGCCTTTTGACTGTTGTTTCAGTCACTTCCGCACCTCCGCTTCAACCTCTTCGTCATAAGAGAAACGTTTGCCACCAAGTTGTAAAATGATTTACGCGACAAACACTTCCCACTGTAAGCAGGAAACATTTTTTTATGAATATCCTATGCATTCAGTCCTTCTGCCCACAAATAAAACGCTCAGCAGAACGTTGTTCTTCTGTATTATACTCCTCACGCACGGTCGCCAATTTCACTATTGAAACCAGCCTCTGAATATGCACATGCGCGTCTGCTACCTAGACTGGCATGAAGCCGGACTGTGCTGCGACCTAGTGATAAATATACAGTGCGTACAATCAAGTGCGCGCCGCGGCTGCGATTTGCCGTGAGTCATACCACCGCAGAACGGATGCAACTCCTCCCCGCGACTGCAGTGCTCCTACGCCGATGGTTGCATAATCGGAACCCGAGGTTGCATTAAACAGTCAGTCTTTGTCTTGCTGTGGAAGTGGAGTGGAATGTTTACAGCTGTCGACAGACGGTGGAAATGAAGTTCACTATTAAACAGCGTGTGTTTATTGTCGAAACTATTGCAAGGAAAAACATTTACAGAAAATTCGCACGTAGGTTTCGTCAGAAATATCCTGACTCGCCAGTTCCCACAAAGTCGTGTGTAAACAGGCTTCTGAAAAAGTGGCGGGCCACAGGTTCAGTGAGTGACAAGAAGAAGCAATCGAAGAGAACTGTGCTGACTGAAGAAAAGGTTAAGGATATTCAGGCAAGATTACAGATCAGTCCTCGAAAATCGTTAAGACGCTTAGCACAGGAAACTGGTGTTTCGCTAGGATCTGCTCGCACAGCCACAAAGTTAATCAAATTTCGCCCGTATAAAGTAACAGTTGTGCATGAGCTGAAAGAACCAGATCATGCAGCAAGAATTCGTTTTTGCAACTGGCTGCTGCAAAATGTACACGATGGAATAGTGGATCCTCAGCTTCTATTCATGACTGATGAAGCGTGGTTCCACGTTGGTGGCCACGTCAATGCACAAAACGTAAGAATATGGAGCAATGAAAATCCTCACGCTATACAGCAAGTGCCATTACATAGTGAAAAGGTGGGTGTGTGGTGTGCTGTAAGCCCGCGGCGAATCATTGGCCCCATATTTTTCCACGATACCGTGAACTCTGATCGGTACATTAATGACATACTGAATCCCTTCTTCGATCAGTTGAATGCCGAAGAAAGACAATACGGGTATTTTCAGCAGGACAACGCTACAGCACATACGGCTAATGCATCCATGGTCGCAATACAGGAAGTGTTTGAAGACAGAATTGTCAGTAGAGGACTGTGGCCTCCCAGATCCCCAGATCTCAGTATTTCTGATTATTATCTTTGGGGCAACCTGAAGCAAAAAGTCTACAAAAATAATCCCCGCAGCATTGATAGTCTTCAAAATGAAATTACACGCGTAATTCATTCAATTACCGTCGACGAACTGCAGAGAGTGTCGCGTAATTTATTTGTGAGATGCGCGGCATGTTTGCAAGCAGAAGGAGGTCACTTTCAGCACCTGTTATAAACCACGGTAAGTTATCTTTTTACTGTATTCTTATAAATGTGTGCATGTAGAGCAACTGATGGACGGAGACTCAGCGACACCACTACACTCACGCTATCGGGGAACGGCACTGCAGTCGCGGGGAGGAGTTGCATCCGTTCTGCGGTGGTATGACTCACGGCAAATTGCAGCCGCGGCGCGCACTTGATTGTACGCACTGTAGAAAATGTATTACACCCATTACAGCTGTTTTGCTTCCATTTGTGACCTATATTACGACCTATGTCGTATTAGACAATTAGACATGAAGAATGACTGAGCCTTATCTCCAGTATCCCTACATTGTGGTGCCTACACAGGGGTGCCACGTTATTTCTCAGCTACACAGATCGAACCTGCTCATTGTTCCAATTTTTGCCTATTTTGTGACAGTTAAACCATGAAAAGGACGCGTAGCACTCTCATAGCTGAGAAAGTGTCCAGGGAAGTCTTCGTGGGAAATAGAATTTTTGTTATATTCGCATTTACAGATTGGAAGAAAGGAATTTTGCGAAAGCTGTTACATTCTTCACCTTGGAATTACCTGTATCTCATATATAACTAACTCCATAGAGCTGAGTACCTCTTGAGAAGCCGCCAATTGTGCAGATACTCAAGAACTTCCCAGCATTTTATGGAACCCGACTGTTCATTGCCGTGTTCACAACATCCCTCCACTGGTCCCTATCCTGAGCCAGATTGATTCAGTGCATAGCATTCCATTCTATTTCTCTAAGATCTATTTTAACATTATCCACCCACCTACGCCTTGGTCTGCTTAGTGGTCTCTTTCCTTCTTGCTTTCCCACCAGTATCCTATATGAATTCCTCTTCTCCACATTCGAGCTACATGCCTTGCCCATCTCATCCTCCTTGCCTTGATCATTCTAATTATATTTGGCGAAGAGTACAAGTTATGAATCTCCAAATTATGTAGTTTTTTCCAACCTCCTGTCACTTCATTTCTCTTAGGTCCAAATATTCTCCTCAGCACCCTGTTCTTAAACACTCTCAGTCTATGTTCCTCCCTCAATATCAGAGTATTTCATATATATATAATATTGTGATATGCAGACATATTGCTAGGGAAGGACTCGGTAAACAAGCCCGCAACAAATACGCAACCAACAATATATTAGACCTATTTTAGGCGACGCGTACAATAAACGCACGCAACAGTAAAACAGATGTTGCAAGAAGTACACGTCTTTTATATCTGGGTCCGCGCCATGCCTTCTGATAGGAAACGGATCTGTAAACACGTATCCTTAATAAAACACAGGTATTTTCCGTGGAGTCCGTGCCGATGGGTTTTCTTGAGGACAATCAGCGCTACAAGGTGGATGAGGGTTCAGCTGTGGAGTGTTAACCAGAGGGCAGCGAAATCGGAAGAATCTCATTGCTAAGATTCGTTACCAGGAGACATCTAGAGAGGACACTGCAGAGGAATTGCCATTGTGGAGAACTGCTGCCAAGTAATGACTAGTGAAATTAGACCGAGAGGACGTAGTGTGGAGTGAATTGTAGTTACGTCCTGTAATCCAATCCATACCCCGTCTACAGTCACCAATACACGTGACAGTATATATTCATCTTAGATTTATCCCTGTGTTCTCTCTTTATTCGTTTCAGAATTGCCGTCGTCTGATATTTGTGTTGGTCATGAAGTTACCTGAATTTCGTCCATGTAATCGTTGTCCTCTCTGATCTTATGCATTTCTTCTTCTCCCTCAAACTCCTCGACCATCGGACGCATCATCCCTTCTACAGACCGCATGGTGTCCTTTACCTCATTGACGTCAGCCTGTGGAATGAATAAGCAGGCTATCACAACATCGTATGGGGCGAAAGCAGAAAGGTAAAAGTATCCCTGTAACAGGCGGTGAAGGCCCATAGGGTTGTGAGAGGTCGAGGGTTGCACATTTTCTAGACAATCGGCCCATAGATGGCTGTAAGGTTGTCAGCCTTACGTGACGGCCGCCCTTTGCCCCCAGCAAGATCCCTGGTACTCATTTATGTTAAGTCGACCACAGGGCCATGATGTGGTTGGAAGGATTAGGTCAATTGAAAAATGCAATGAACTCATCGAAAAGGAACCCGCGAACATACGGCTTGTAGCACAGTGCCTCACCCAACTACGACAGTAAACCTACTGGGCGGGATGGCGGATAGATACAGAGGTCTAGCACTGGCCGTGCCATAGCTCAGGCGGTTAGTTGCCGGCTTCCTACGGCGGCAGTCCGGGTTCGATCCTAAGTCAGGTCATGTGGAATTTGCGGTGGACAAAATGGCACTGAGCTAGGTTTTCTCAAAGTATTTCAGTTTCCCCTGCCAATTATCATTCCACCGACTGTTCCACAATCATCATCACCCGGGGCTGGTACAATATCCCAAATAATGGCTGTCATACCAAGTGGACTCAATCTCACCCAATTCCAAGAAACCAAATAAAAAACACACGAGGTCTAGCACTATGAATATGTTCGACGTGAATAATCCGGCTATAAATAGGTGATAATTATATAAAATTGCCAGTAAATTACCATTACCATAACATACATGCAGATATGCTCAAAATCTACCGCTCATGTTTACATATGAGTCAAATATGAAGCGAGGGATTGGATGTTATTATTTCAGACTTTAAAGTGTCGTTGTTTCGGTGAGGCGAACCACCAAACGCGTCCCTATATTCCAGGGAGAAAGGACGTGGCTTCGCTTTGCCTACCATCGCAAATTATTCTGATGTCACAAAACTCGGGCACGTTCGTGATATTGTTTCTATTGCGCAGGCTCACGCCAGTACTTTCCACGTTGACATGTGTAGTTATTGTTCTGTTGGATTCTCACTTAGGCGAGAAATCCCGACGAAATTTTATTAGAAAATTCTGAAATGAAATGACTACTTGGGAGACATAGGCGTAGATGGAAGGATACTGTTGAAATCTATCTTATGGAAGTAAGATTTGTACGGTGTTGAATGTATCATACTGAATCAGGATTGAACCTTCTACAAAGAGAGGAATTTCTAGATTTGCTGAGTAACTATCAGCTTCTTAAGGATGGTTGCTGCATGCACTCAAGTTGAATTTTCCATTTCGTTTTCTGGATATGGGCTTCCCAGCCAATTAGCTGGAGCTCCAGATGAGCGGTGGTTACTGGCTCTTCTTACAGTATCGTATCTCTGCCGGGGCCGATTAAAACTTGCTCTATTTGTCCTCCTTCAGTGAGTGAAACGCCACCAGGCAACAGTATCGGCTCAGACCTCACCGCCAGCGTTGTCCGGAAATGCTGTGTCCAGCATTCTCTCTCTTCAAGAATATTATAAATATACAGTAAACCCTCGATAATCCGGTTACAGTTAATCTGGATGTCGGATAAACCGGATCGAAAAATAAAAAAAATATTCACAGTTGAGTACATACTTTAAAGATATATCATATTTAGGAAGGCGGATGAGTCACTTGTCTCTTCAGGCAAAGCTTAACACCTTCAAACCTGCATTATTACGCTCAAAAACAAGTCAGTTTCTTAGTCTTCTATCAATGAATAAATGTATTGTTTTTTAATAGTTTCTAAACAACGGCTGTACAGTGATATCTTGTTTACTCGCATCAGCACTGCTTATGTATAATTCAGTTGTCCATTTAGTTCTGTTCACAGTTCTTTAGGGCTATCTTTTGCTTCACTAATCCTGATTATCGCTTAATCGGGACAATTTCCGCACCCCAATTAATCCGTATTAGCGAGGGTTTGCTATACTGTTATATTCTTATCTAATGTAACTGAAACGTCGAAGACATACGTGTAAGTTCAGAACAGCTTCAGCAAATGGGAGGACCATCAACTCGAAACGGGTCTTCGTCAGGTTGTAAGTCAGAGATACGCTGCAGGAGAAGACGCGGACAACTTCGTGTCCGTTGGTGGCGAGATTGTGTACTGGACCAGCCAAGACGAAAGCGATGACAATCACTTTGAGCACCCGTCGACCAACTCGTCCGCAGAATACGGGTAGCGTCAGTGCCGATATGCACCTGGCCTGCAACACAAGCACAAGAAAAGAGGTGGCAGAAAGATCCTTCCCCTCAACAGCCGCAGGACTCAGGACAATAGAGAACAGATATGAGTACAGTAATATAAATGTTACAAGAAATGGTTACAATATTTCGTATGAATACCCGAAAGAGAACTCACATCCCCTTTATCTATATAAACCGAAGGATAAAATGTAATAGGGATAAAAGTAAAGTAAATATATAATTGTTCCTGTGCTTAACTATTTAAGCACTATGTCATGAAAGCATAAGGGGGAATGGACGTACAGGTTCACATTTTCTTGACCTCTGCAATAGCTGGAGGTGAGTAGTCAGCTTCATGCCCCAGCCGGCTTTACCACCAGGAAAGATCTCCCGATGTCCTTCCGATAGGAGGCTGGGTTGGCCTCAGAGCCGGTCTGGACGACATAAAGAAGAGAAAATTCTTAACTCTACCGGGACTCGAACTCCGACCCCTCGGTCGTCCAGCACGGCGCCAGACTTTACACCTACTAGGCTAATTAAAATATGTTAGGAAAAGTTTTAAAATCTGTAACAGACTAGGAACTGAAATCTTGGTGTTAATAATGTGACATGTCTCCCAAAGGCCGCAATAGTGAAGCCAGAGGAGACGTCCATTGCTAGGCAACGACTCAATAAACAGGTTTCGGTGGCAAAGGATACATAAACAATAATAGAGAAGCTTTTGGGAACGATGTTTTCTGTTGGGTCAATGCAAAGTGGTTATGAAGAAGAATTCAATAGAGAACTGGAAGTCCACAGAAAATATAAGGGGCTTAAACTTGGCGGGGGTCAAACTTACGACCGTTCAAATGACTAAGTTGTTATTGTATCATAAGATCTGTAAGTTAGGCATGATCTGCTCTGTATAACCTGTACTAACAGAGGACTTGTGTGTAGTGCAAAGGAAAGAATTTTCTGTAACATGTTATATGTGCGAAATTACACTTGACGAAAGGCAAAATGTATTCATAAGAGACAAACCCATCTCCTAATCAGAGAGGATGTTACATAAGGACTATTACCGCAAGAGTTCAGTTGGAAAAAAACTCTAGTCGTGGACCTCAAAGGTCCTGACGCCGAGACGAACTGTTTGGCGGTGAACCGCCAGTCGTAAAGTAACTTTGACCATGGTTTTGACTTCGAGAACAGGCCGTCGAGTTCCGGAGTTTCAAGTGAGAAGTCAGTCGGGAGTTAAGTTGCGATATTCGTCGGATAGTAACGACGTAGGCGCAGGGAGTTAAAGGATCTATACTGTTATAAGACGTTACTAGGGAACGGATGTTAAAGACACAGCAGGCTGGAAAAAGGCTTAGTANTCCCCCTGTGATATTCTACCAGTCTCTATACCCTACCGATACTGGTGCATGCCATCAGTCCTGACTCAGCCAGCGAGTTCGGCCTCTACTGGCTCAGCGGCATCTAGATGCTTCCCCCATCTACCAGAGGCGTTAGAGTCTATTGTTGGGCGGGAAACGTCCTTGTAATTTGGCTGAGAGACCTTGAGGCATGAGGTTCTTTTACGTGCCGTAAAGCTACGACACGGGACCCACGGCTTAAAGTCCCTCCCGGAGGACTTGTTCCCTGAATTTTTCCGCCCTTAAAAATTCCACGACCTCCGCCGGGCTTGGACCCGCGTACCTTGAGTCATGAGGTGGGAACGTTACCCCTAGACTATGGAGGCCGCTGTCACACCACCTAAATATATGACAATAAGTGACAATGATGGAAATGTTAAGTATCGGGGTTTGCGTGACTAATAACAATGAGTCCTGGATTCGATGATTAGATTTATTAGTACTTCTTTGCAATTACAGTCAACTATAACAGCTCACAATCAATGACTTTCTACGAATCGCTCCATTCCTCCCTGGACCACGAGCGTCTGCTCTCCCACTGTGACAAATGACGAAAGACGAATCCCTGCTCACACACTGAATTGCCTTGAACGACGTCTGCCTGCTCCATCTGGAGCTCATGAGCAGATATTTATTACTCTTTGGCATTTACGGTCTTGTTTTTGTGGGGCGCCCTCTCTAACGAGAGGGCGGGTCTGCCTTCTGTATGCTGCTGCTATGTCCTGGCCAGTGCAGTCTTCCTCGCGTCTGAGTCCCTTGGGACTTGCGACCATATTTTACTGTCTCAGACTTCCCTTTTCGTCGCCTCCTACGACTCGCAGGGTCACGATGGAGGTATTCGACCCAATTCCTAGTCAGAGTTACTTTACGACTGGCGGTTTACAGCCAATCAGTTCGTCTGGGCGTCATTCATTCCTAGGAATGAACTACGAATCTTTTATACCTTCCAGGCGGACAGAATATAGGTCACCATGTCGAAGAGTTAATTGTTCTTCTGTTGTCACGGAAATATGTTTGTTTAGCGACTTACTACCTAGCAACGACTCGTTCGTTGCTATTAGTTGCAGCGGGAACGCGATTTCCGAGCCGTTGCCCAGCAACGGATTAATCCATCACAGTAATGACAACAATATTCACCCCGGTTTCAAGCAGAAGTAGTTCCTTAAACTATGGCTTCGTAGTAATTTTTTCAGCATAGCTCAGGATGGCGTGCGAGCAGACAGTTTCTGCGAGTCCTCTAAATTTCTTGGCAAAAATAGAGGAAATTGTTTCTTCTAATCTCGGCATTTAGCTATTGTTCCAGAAAGTTGAAAGCGACGTGTACACTTTTATCATATGATCTTCTGCAAATGGATCTTAAGCGACTGGGTGTGTTTTATTTCACCCACCCAAAGCGCAGAGTTCAGTTATACTCACTTGGATTGATAATGCGTTTCCCAGACCTAGGACGAGGCAGATGGCTGCCCCGACAGCGAGGCAGATCTGTGGCGTGAAACCAAGGTCTGTCAGAATCACTGCATAGAGACCTGTAACAGAAGTGAATCTGTGTCACGAAACATCTCAACAACACGCCCTATTGGCGATGCTCCCTTTCTTGACACCTTTCGGCAATACAGCCGCGATATATTTTCGAGAAGCTCAGAATCAGAGAGAGAAATCATTTCAGTCACTAAATAATATATCCAATCCAAATAAAATTAACTGAAAATGGAAAGTAAATGTATTACTCTGTTGTTCATGTTGGGAGTCAAGTCGTTAGCCCTTTCCATGCTGAGTTTATACTAGAAATATTTCCCTTAGCTTATTTATAAAGAAAAGACCGCCTCTGTGGTCTAGTGGTCAAGAGTTCCTGGCTACAAATCCAGAGACACAGGGTTAGATTCCTGGCGCTACCAGATTTTCTGAGAAGTAGTGAGTCAGGAAAGGGGTCCACTCAGCCTCGTGAGGATAATTGAGGAGCTATTTCAAGGAAATAGCGGCTCCGGTATAGAAATCCGAGATTAACGGCTGTACTGAAGTCACTGGGCGGAGGGCTAAGAAAACGTCTAGATTACTTCCTCGATCCTTGCTTCATTGGCTAGGGGCACACAGTTCACGGGGCTTGTCAGGAGGGCGCAGGTGCGAAATGTGGTAAGGGAGGAAATCACAACAACACAAACCCACACCCTCACCCTATGCTACCCTACATTAGTATAAACAATCAGTACACAACTATATACATTTTAGTAATATCACAATTAAAGAGCCGACTGGTGTCGGATTACACATTGCACCTTCTTAGACGATTCTTGGACCTCATCTTAGACTTCCTTTCACCCAGTTGTGGGTCGCTAGTCTCCTCTTACTCCTATTCTACTGTGTGTGTATATATATATATCTTTACCATCCCTGCAGCTAGACACCCCCTCTGCAGTCTCTACATTGCACATGTCTACCTCTGTATCACTCCGTTGAGTCACTCTTACGCCCTGTACACTTTTCGTAACGTTCCTAACTCATGTCCCATTGGAGGAGTTACACTTTAAGAATATCACAATTATATAGCATGGCGATAAGAGTAGTTCCACTTACTTTGCGTTGAGACTGCAGATGGATGGCGTGGCCTGGCACCTAGTCGGTGCTTCTTCCAGCATAGCCTCCGGCGACAACTGCCCAAATTTACTGTTTGAATAATTTCGTTAATAATTTGCTCTCTGGGTTATATACCTTTATTCTCGCTAACTCATTACTTTCCCGGAGGGTGCAAGCCCGCCTCCAATGACGTCTTATTCCAAGGTGGCTAGCTCTCGTTGGCTGGGATCCTTAGGGGTGGACACGCTCCCTTACGGCTAGTCCATTTGGCTAAGCCTTTTTACCTCCAAAACGTTCCCCCATCACTCAAGTGTAGATTCTGTAGAGTTAGCAGTTCGATATACCTTCAATGTCATTATGCTGACAGGATATCTCCGCGTCACAGGCCAGTGTCCGTCTAACTCCATAGGTAGAAATTCTATGAAGTTTCTTAATTCTTCTTACATCCTCTTTCGTACGTCTTACAAGTATTTCCCAAAACTAATTCTATTCTAGCCAACATTTTCCCCTAAAATAAAAAAAAAATAACTACTCTTTTAACATGTTACCGGGAGTCGGCCTTCAGGGCACAACAACGGCCGTGGGGATCCGTTGCGCTGAACACGTGACATCCTCTATAAAAGTTGGCACTAACTTCGCCGACAAGCGGCGGTTGCTCGGTTAGTATAGCTCGCTTGAGGACTACAGGCCACGGAGTTCGCTTAATGGGGGGTGGAGTCCAACTGGGTCCATTCGGCACGGCGGCCACTGATTCGCCTATTGTAACCTGCCCTGGGCGATTATGATGATGGAAAATTTGGTGGAAGGGAAATTGGCAAGGGAAACCGATGTACTCGGAGAAAACCCGTTCCAGCGCTGTCCATCAAAAATCCCATTTGATTAGACCCGGGATCGAACCCATGCGGCCGCGGTGGGAAACCAGCGACTAACCGAGGCCACGGAGTTTTTTTATTTATATAGAAACTGACCTATATAACTCTTCGTGCCCAGGCACTCAGATACCATTAACCTCTATGGGACAGATGCATTCACACTTCAAAGTGCTAGTTAACAAACGTGACTATCTAAGCCCAGGCAAACTGCCACAAACTCTCGCATCTGTTCCATCTCTACACGTTATGCATTCCTGTGTTTCCAGTGCTCCATGTCAGCCGGCTACTGGGAAAGCAAGAACAATGTTGCGTGTTTCACTTACCAATTGCTAGCAAAACACCGTAGAAGAATCCAGCCACAGCCTTAAGTACTCTATATTCATTTTCATCTGAGTAGACAACGCAGTACAGAAGACGACGTAAACATTTCATAAATTTCTTAATCACTGAAATAGAAATATTAGAGCGTCAGCAGTGATATCAAGACCTCGCGAAATTTCCGAATGGCTTCGAAATTTCCGCAGAAATATAATTTTAAAAATCTTAACGTAAAGCACAAATTGAAGGGCTCAGTTGTGATTGGACTCCATCCAGGAAGAGTCCAAGTCAGATACCACCCACATAATCTATTCTTCTCCTTTAGTATTTTCTTTCTTATCTTCTTGGGTCCTCCAACAGGTTTACACATTAATATTTTGTGAACATGTCTTATTTCCTCTAATTGACATACATGTTACGTTGATGGAAATTTTCTTTCAAGATTTGTTGTGTGGTTGTGGGGGAAAACTAAAGTGTGTTGGATTATTATCGACGGAGATTTGACGTAAAGACTGCCCTCCGTCTAGCTTCAGTAACGTTAGAGGAAATTATGAATTGTTTCTAAAGAGGCACAAGCTTTATATACAGCCCTGATCAGAGCCAGAGTTACTTTACGACTGGCGGTTTACCGCCAATCAGTTCGTCTTGCCGCCAAGCTCCTTGAGACCCACGACCAGAGATTATTTCAACTGAATCCTTGAAATTATAGTCCTTACATAACATTCTCTCTCACGAGAGGACTGAGCTCTCATTTACAATTCCTTCTGGCCTTCGTCAGTGCAGTCATTCTCGGTTCCGAGCCCGCAGGACTCATGACCACATTTTACTCTCTCAGAGTCGAGACTCCCCCCAACCTGGAGGGCCAGGTCCCCGTATTTATATCCCTCTAGGAACAAGGTAGTCCAGTTATATCAGACACTGGGCTCCATTTTCGTCGCCTCCTGTGACTCGCAGGGCTACGATGGAGGTATTGGAACCTGCCTCCACGCAGGCAAATGGAGAGTGCTATCTCCTAATTACCATGCTAGGGGTTTAGGTGTTTCTACCGAACCACACTGCGGCAGACCATGATAACATCTATCAGAACCACAAATAAAAAAAATTATGTACGTATCAGTAGAATTATAATAATGCAACTTCCAATTTCAATACCTGAAGCACAGTATCTTACTTAGTGTAACTTAAATAGTTTCTGGGAAGAAATCTTTCAGAAAAGTAACTGGACTCCAGAACAATGAAGTAAACGCGCTGTTTACGATAGTACACAAAGAGGAAAACAAATCTCCCTCTATTGTTAGACGAGTGAAATATTTGAGTATGGTGGATTGAACGTGGAAGAATCATGGTGTACATAAAGAATTCTGATGGGGAAAATCTTTTAGAAAACTTCTACTTGGAAAAGATTCCAGAATCACGTCCAGTGGCGCTAGTAATGTTTGGCACCACAACTGGGCAGCTGCCCTGAGGTTGGCTACCCTGGATCTGCAAAACAAGTGATTCTTCTGGATACTGCCAGATATCCAGATCCTGCGAGGCAATTCTAAACACGAACAGAATTACTCATAACGTGACTTCACAAGTCACGTCATGTTCTCATGAAGGCACGCTTTGTTTGTTATCGCATTTCATATTCACATCAGACTTTCTAGGTCTGTCACAGAATTCCTTTTCCTTATGCCCCGCTTCGAAGGAAATGTGTGAAAATTCCTAATACATTTTGAAATATGCGAAAAGAAAAGTATTCACATCCCTCGTACCCGGTAGACACCCCGTTTGCATGAAGCGTGTGTAAGTAAGGATGTCTTGCATGATCGTCGTTTAATAATTATCGTCTTTATCCTACCTTATTTAGTTTATAAAGAAAGTTAAGTTTATGACATCATATCTGTATGTCAAAAAGATTTAATATCCCTTGAACTAACTGTGAACTTTCATGGCATTTCGTATGAAAGTGCATGCTATTTTATATTCTAATTTTCGGTCTCCTAACAACTCCAGGGAGCAGAATCTATCATGAGAAGCTAATGGTCATTTTAACAAAAATAAGCTGATATTGTGTCTACAGATAAAGGTAAAGCTATCCCTGTAACAGGCCGTGAAGGCTCATAGGGTTGTGACACTTCGAGGCTCTCACATTTTCTCTAGACAGTCGGCTCACTGATGGTGGTGAGTTTATTAGCCTTACGCGTAGGCCGTTTATACCCCCCAGGAAGATTCCTGGTACTCATTTCTGTTGGAGGCTGAGTCGACTCCAGGGCCATAGTGCCGCTGGAAGGATTAGGTAAATTGAAAAAATCCACCTCATCTGGACCCTAACCCGCGACCTTCCGGCTTGTAGCATAGTGCCTCAACCAACTACACTACTGCCAGGAATGTGTATGAATCTTAAATTCTTATGCATACAAAAACTTAATATTGCACGTGCTTTGAAAAACTCGCTACTGCTGTTAGTACTTTGTATGTAGAGAACTTAGCACCACAGCTGAGTAACGGTGAGCAATTGCGCCTGCAAAGAAAAGAGAAATGGACGTTTGAAATTGCGAAATCATATCTAACAGTGGCCACGTACATGTGCTAAGTTTTAGAAAATAGCTCAGTGTCCTGTTAAACTCCACTATGCTACAAGCTGGAAGGTCGCGGGTTCGATTCCCAGTGAGGTCATTGAAATTTTCAATTCACATAATCCTTCCAACCGCACTATGGCCCTGGGGTCGACTCAGCCTCTAACAGAAATGAGTACAAGAAATCTTCGTGGGGTAAAGGCGGTCCGCACATAAGGCTGACGACCACACCTCCATCTTTGAGCCGACTGTCTAGAAAATGTGGGAGCCTCGACGTCTCACAACCCTGTGGGCCTCCATGGAATATTACAGGAATAGCCTTTCCTTTTTTTTTTACAAGTGAAGCGTTTTTTTATGTACGCATAAGTCAATATAACAACAACATTGTCACGTGTATGTGTGACTTAGGCGGGATTTGGATTGGTGAATAGATTTATTGACAGCTTACAGGACGTAACTACAAATAACTATAACACGTATTATTGCTGATTTCCACATTACGAAATCATGTCACCCTAAGTCTTTTCAGTCTGCTTTCACTAGTCGTTGCTTGGTAACAGCTATCTACAGTGGCTTTTCCTCTGCAGTGTTTTCACTAAGCGTTTCCTGGTAACGAATATTAACAAAATGGAGATTTTTAGCTTCCGTGGTCACGCCGTTGCCCGTTTGATAACACTCCTTGCTTAAACACACTAACAAACCAGCCACTTCATTGAACTCAAATGAACTGCCCTTAGCCGGCCTGGGGTCCTCGTCACATAGCCTCGTGGCGGACCCAACAAAAAACACCGCCTCCAGCAATCCCTATACTGTTGTTATGGACGGTTGCCTAGCTATAGCCCGCGTATCGACGTGTTTGCAGGCCGTTACCAATCATCGCATATTCATTCTCGTTACCGTTTCTTAGCAACGGTACTACGCGTAACAATATAAATTAAACTATCAGAATACGATAATGGTGGTTTAATTTTTACAGTATATAAAAAAGCAATCCGTTACGGGTTACACACCAATGAAATGAACGTTTAAACAAGATCAAGTTTATGGCTTCACAGCGAGAACTTGAGCCGTCGCTACCTTGATATTACGGAAGAGAGGTGTTTGTGAGATGTGTCATTGAAACTGCCTCATGTGACAATACATGTTTAAGCATTCAAATAACGTTAAGGATATTACTTCAACAATTTGAGATGCTACAGTTTCGGTGTTACAGATTCGAGGGATTTGTGGATAAAACGCCAAGTTTCATGACAACCGGTTCAAGCACTCAAATAATTATTCGACCTTGAAGATGGGGACGAAATGTTCCTCCGAAACTTCTGTTGACTTTTAACGGACTGCACTGACTTATATCCCAGGTTTATAGTATTTTAATTTTCCATTTAGCCTGAATTTATTTGTTTTACCACTCATCAACGTGCACTCACCAATACAACAGTTTGGGCTTTGTAAGATTTGAGGCTTTCACGGCGGTGACTATGAAGAAAGCAGTCTTCTGGGATTTGGCACCGTGTATATGTGGTGTTAACCGACGTTTCGGAGGAACGTATCGCCTCCATCTTCAGGGTAGAAGAAAAAATATAAGAAATCCGCAAGCGAAGACTGCAAACTGCTTTTACCGGTTCTCACGGTCTCTTCGCTTGCGGATTTCTTATATTTTTTCTTCTACCCTGAAGATGGAGGCGATACGTTCCTCCGAAACGTCGGTTAACACCACATGTACACGGTGCCAACTCCCAGAAGACTGCTTTCTTCTCAGTTTGGGCTTTGCTATAGTTTGAAATCAACCAATCAGAGCCTCTGTTCGTAGTCCGAGAAAGCTCCAGTCTTTCCATGCGCATCTGTCCCACCGTACTATACTGAGACTTCCGAACATCAACAATACCTTTTAAATCTGACATTGCGACGTACGCAACAATGCTAGATGGACAGGGATTTAAATGAACAGCATAAAGTAGTTAACATTTTCCTTAATCTCGGTAAAGTTACTAACCAGTGAGTCTGTGCTTTAATGTGGACGGGCGATTAGTGTAGTAACCGTGTGTTATTACTAAAATAAACACTTATTTGAGGACACACGAATCGATTCCGCTTGATGTATGCCTTATTATTGTTACTTCTGAGATGTACATCTGTGAGCTGGTGACAATTTTGACGTTTTGGAGTGTACGGACTCCATTTGTGTGTCAGCAGTTTGGCTGTCTTCGAGTTTGTAAGGTTTGAGGTTTTCAGGGCAGTGGTTATGAAAAATCCTATCCTCTGCGATATAACGTCGCGTATGCTTTTGAAGTCAAACAACGTTTCAGAGTAACATGTCACCTAAATCTTCAGGGTTCAGTAATAAGACAAGCAAGAAATCAGCATGAAGCAGGTAGCAATCAGTTATCTGCTTCTTGCTGGTTTCCATTTCATTTTGTTTCAACGAAAAATCTTGAAAGATGATCTAAATATAGAAATTTTAACAAACGCCGGAACCCAGTCACAAAAATTACATGATTTTAACTCGATTCTGCGAACACTGAAATCGCTCACAGAACATGAGCTGGAATATAACACAACTTTGTATT